CAGAGTTCCTCAGCCAGCTTTGCTGGCTGAGGAACTCTGGGAGTTGAAGTCCACAGGTCTTAAAGTTGCCAAGGTTGGAGACCACTGGCATAAGGGATTCTATTGTGAGCTCTTCTCCTGAAATACCTCTGGACTCACTCAATGGTATTAACATCCAATATGAAGTGTGGATTCCAGGCAGACCAGCTGCATTTGAGGATTATAGAGATGTTATTAATGTCTGTGTGTCTAACATGAAACTATTCATTCTATTTACAAAGTCAGAGCCTCGACTTACAACAGTTCATTTAGTAACCATTCAAATTTACAACGGCACTAAAAAAAAAGTGACTTAGGACAGTTTTTCACACTTTGCAAGAACCCCATAGATCATGTGATCAGAATTCAGATGCTTGGCAACTGGCTCATAGTTATGACGGTCGTAGTGTCCCTGGGTCATGTGATCCCCTTTTGCAACCTTCTGTCGAGCAAAATCAACGGGGAAGCCAGATTCACTTAGCAACCGGCTTACTAATTTATCAACTGCAGTGATTCACTTAACAACAGAGGCAAAAAAGTCATAGAACGGGGCAGAACTCACTTAACAAATGTCTCACTTAAGAACAGGGATGTTGGGCTCAACTGTGGTCGTAAGTCGAGGACTACCTGTATTTATGAAATCAATACATGATGGGGTTTCCTCGATGTGCGCTCAGTTTGAAGTTACAACTGCACTGAAAAAAGCAACTTACGGCCAGTCCTCGCACTTACGACTGTCACAGCATGCCCCATGGTCACATGATCAGAATTCAGGTGCTTGGGAACCAGCATGAATTTATGATGGTTGTGGCATCCCTGGGTCACATAATTGTCATTTGCAACCTTCCTTTTGTGGCCTACAGCGGCCAGTGGCAGCAGATTCGGACAGAGAGGAGGTTGGGGAGGAACATGGGCCAGGAGTCCTGGAGTCTGGGGAGGGCTCTGGTGAGGGCTCTATGTCGGAGGCAGAGAGGGGAGTCAGAGCCGCATGCCAGTTATCAGTTGCCTTCAGAGTCAGACATCAGTGAGGCAGATGAACAGCTGGAGCCTGTTCCCAGTGTGCGCATGCGCAGAGCTGCCAGATGAAGGGAACAACTAAAGAACAGGGGTCGACTTGGGTGTAAGGCCACAGGTGAACGATGAATGGGTCCTCTCAGAAGAAATAAAAGAGGAGCGAAAGGGGAGTGGAGTTTGCAGGAGACAATTAGTTTGCTTAA